AAGGTCTATCCAATTGCACAGACATAAGACTTTGGCTCGACGAAGGAATGAGAAGCTTGAAAAAAATCATATATGTTCTTAAACAATCACTATGATCATGATTTGATTGATTATCAAGGATGATTAAGGTGCATGAATTCTCTCATTGTCAAACTAGTCGTTCAACATTCATAAAATGTATTTCAATTTATAAGATTTCCAAATCATTCATTTCAAATTCCCTTGATAACTACTTCAATTATATTATTTTCTCTATATTTGATGTTGCAATCAGCATATCATCCATATACAAAAGAAGAAATTTACAACAGTTATCAAAATATTTAAAGCAACTGTGATCTGTTTAATATTTTATGTACCTTCTGAAATAAACCTGTCAAATATCCTATATCAATATTTTGGTGTCCACTTTAATCCATATAGGTTGTTTTTATCCTACATACTATTTCTTCTTTTCCTAGAATTGCATTTCCTTCAGGTTGTTGCAATCAGCATATCATCCATATACAAAAGAAGAAATATACATCAGTTATCAAAATATTTAAAGAAGCAACATTGATCTGTTTAACATTTTATGTACCTTCTGAAATAAACCTATCAAATCTCCTATACCAATATTTTGGTGTCTGCTTTAATCCATATAGGTTTTTTTAGCTTACACACTATTTCTTCTTTTCCTAGAGTCACATTTCCTTTAGGTTGAAATATGTACGACTCTTCTTTTAAGTAGCCATGGAGAAAATCTATTTTCACATCCATTTGTTCTAGATGTAAATCCTGCACTGCTATGATGCTCAACACAACACTAATTATTATCATCTTAACAACTGGAGAGAAAGTTTCATTGTAGCGCACTTCTCCTTTTTGTTGAAATCCTTTTATTATAAGCCTTGCCTTGTAACGCTACTTCCATCAGATTTCTTCTTTTAATTTTTAAACTTAATTGTTTTGCAACACTTTGTTGTCATTTAGTAGTTCGATCAATTTCCAAGTTTGATTTGATGTGGGTGATTGCATCTCATCATCCATGACTAACTCTTCTTTGAATCATCAACTTGTATGACTTCATCATAGCACTCTAGTTCACAAGTATATATCAATAATAAATAATATAATGATGGAGAATACCTTTGTGAAGGTCATGAGATTCTATTAGATCTTTTGACTCGGTAGCAGGTCTCTGAGGAGCTCTTTATGATTCATCAACTTGAGCACAATTTTCATCTTTGTTATCCTGATCACTTCATCTTCTATTTCATCATATTTAGAAGAATCCTCTAGAATTTTTTGATTAATATCTTTATTCATTTTATTTTCATTGAATGTGACATCCCTGCTCTTGATTGTGTTTCATCATCTTGAGCACAATTTTTGTCTGTCTTCCTGATCATTTACATCCTCTATCTCAACTTATTTGGAAGAATCCTTTGGAGTTTTTTCATTTATATTCTTATATATTTTATTTTCATTGAATGTAACATCCCTGATCTTGATGAATATTTTATTTTGATAGTCCCAAAATTTATAACTAAATTCATCTAATTCATATCCAATAAATGTATATTTGATAAACTTTGGATCAAGCTTACTCCTGGATCCTTCAGTAATATGAACATAAAAGGCACAACTAAAGATGTTAAGGTGAGATAAACTTACCTCTTTGCCACTCCAAGCTTCCTCAGGTAACATTTCATTCAGAGGGATTGATGGATCATCATTGATCAGATAAACTACCGTATTCATTTCTTCTGCCAAAAACTATTTGGAGAAACCAGCGTGTAATCTTATGCTCTTGACATGCTTAATTATAGTTTTATTCATGTTCTTTGCAACACCATTTTATTATAGCGCTCTTGGGATGGTGAATTCATGTATGAACTTCTCATGATATTCGTCACTATTTTTCTGATATGAGACACTTCAGCTTTAGACTTGTCTTATTTTCAATCATGATTTTTCATTTTTAAAGACATCAAATGCATTTGACTTGTGTTTTAAAAAAGTTATACATACCTTTCTAGTATAAGCATCAATAAAAATGACAAAGTATAAAGACCCTTCTATAAAAAGAATTGGAGTAAGGACCCCATATATGTGTATGAACTAATTCTAACTTCGTTGACTTCAATTTTAAACCAGTCTTTGAGAAACTAATTTTCTTTTGCTTACCATTAATATGACCTTCACAAAAATCTAAATATATAGAGTTTAACTCAGGAAGCTTTCTTTTAGGTTGAAGGGATTTCATACATTTCTTATTCATATGGTAAAGCTTGCGGTGCCAAAGACCTACATCAACTTCTATTTTTGATATTCCAATCAATTCAAATACTTCGTTGATTACATAAAGAGTGGCGCAATTTTACCAGGAGCTGCAACCATAGCTCATTTTGTAACCTTCCAAGAGACTCTTGTGAAGGCTGTTATATAACCTGAGTGAGCAAGTTTCCTTGCAAAAATTAGATTACTTTTCAAACATGGAACATGCCTAACTTCTTCAAATTTTCAAATTGATCCATCTTGTAACTTGATATCAATGTCGTCCTTCCCTATAATGTTGTAGGGCTTGTTGTCTTCCATATATAATTTCCCTAGATTGCCTTGAGTGTAATTTTCTTACACCTTATTTGAACTTACAAGAAATGAAGCACCTAAATCTACAACCTAAGATTTAGAATTATTTAGAGATAAAATCAGATAATCACTTTGAATTCTTCTACAGAAATATTTGTAGTATGACTTTTATCTTGACCTCCTTCATCAGATTTCTTTGGAACCTTGCAGTCCTAGATCAATTTAAACTTCACCAATACCCAACGGCTTTGTTTCAAGTTGTATTACATATTTATTTTGACCCACCTATCACACATTAATCATTTTTCATATGAGAAAAAAATCGAATCGGTCCTCTTAACTTTTTGTACATAATCAAAGTAGTCTCCGTGATGTGATGTTACCAGAAGTTAGCAAGAAATTAATAAGAGCAATTGTTAAAAGCTTTCCAATGTAAAGTTATCGTTCACAACAAAGAAAAATTCTTGAAATTCATAATTTTTAACTTGCTTAGGCAAAGAAGTGCACGTAGATTAGCAAGACAATTCAATCAAACTCCAAAGACAAGAGTAACTTTATGCGGGCTTAACAAAAATCCACAATTTAATAATGAGATGTTTCACCTTGAGGACCTTCTCACTCATTCACTCGTAGGGTTAGCGGAAGAGGATACTCCACACTAGAAGAGAGATCACCACTAGGAAGAAGAAGCTATGATCTTTGTTGATGAGAAGGTTGCCGGCAACTGATGGATTTGTGGGCGTCCCACAATCGACCACGATCTGATTGGGAGATGTTACTCAATTGTCGGTGCCAATGTGAAGGTGATGCGGTCAATGTAACTTTCCACGGAGTCGTTGACGTTCAAGTTCAAATCGAAGAAGGTAGATCGAGGAATGTCCATTCTTCCTTGGTTATCATATACGAACCGAAGATCAACGTTGGGAGCGGCCATGCGTGACCATGGGAGTATCTTGGTGGTGTTCTTTGGAGGAGCTGCCGATTGGAAGGGCGGTGGAGAGGGAGCAGCGGGTGGTGAGGGTTGGCGGTGGATGAGAGGAGGGAGAGGTTGGCTAGAGCTAGGGTTAAGAGTTGGAGATTAAGTTTTAGGAAAATCTGAAATTGATTTCAGAATTTTCCAAAAAGGTAGGGAGGGAAAATTTTGAATTTTAAAATCTTCCGAAAAGGGCTATAGGGGCTAGCAGATTAGGAGGTAATTAGGAGAGGATTTAATGGAGATTGGGATTTAAATAGGAGAGAGAAGGGGCTAGGTGAGGGGCCGGCCATGTATAGAGGGAAGAGGGGTTTTGTTTTAAGTATGTGGGCTCCCAAGGAATAAATAGTGATTGAAATCAAATCTGACTTTAATTTCAGATTTGATTTAAATATGGAGGTTTCCTAAATGGGGTTCTAGCAATAGGAAATTATTTGAATTCAAATATTCAATTGAATTCCCAATTGGAAACTTTCCTGAAACTTTCCTAAATGAATATGGCTTATTTTAGGAAAGTGAATAATGGCAATTGGACTTTTGAATTTCAGATTTTGGGGACAAGGTGGCCAGCGGTCAAGGCTTGGGAAGGAGAGGGCTGTGGGGTGGAGGCCGGTGGCTGGTTGATGGTGGCCGGTGGTTTGGGCGGCCAATGGGGGGCCGGAATTAAAAGGAGGCAGAGGGGAGGACAAGCCGGCGGGTGAATAGGGTAGAGGAGGTGGTTGGATGTAGGGGAAGAGAAGGAAGTTGACGTGCCACGAGTCCCGGAATCCACCAGTGGTTGACGGGTGTTGCTAGGCTCTCTCCTAGGGTTTCTGCTCTCAAGAAATCACAAAGAGATCAAACAAGAAAATCTGAAAATTTTCATTCATCATCATCATCCTTTTACAATGGAAGAGGCCACAATATATAGGCCTAGAAAATAAAATAACAATGACTCAAATACCCCTTTGGTTACAACTCAAACAAACTCAAAAGAAATGATACAATCGTAATTAGTAAATAAACTACAATACATAAATGCATAAAAAATAAAGTCTGTGAATCATAGCCATCGACCTACGATTCCTACGTTGATAGACTCGTCGTATCATACGATGTCCTCATCACTCCGACTATATAAAAGTTATTTCGTGACTCTTTAAATATGGAGCAAATTAATCTTTCCGTTACATCATTGAGATTATGGAAACCTCGTGGTCCTAATATTTCTATTAAAGAATTGAAAGCTATAGTATTGCATTCTGTATTAAAAACTATTTTTTACAATTAATCATCTGCTACGAACTAAATATTCTTTTAAAAAAAAACACTTGAATATCATACTTAAGATAATCATGATGGATTCTTTTTACCAACAATTGATATATTTTTAGATACCATACGTGTGTAGTGGACAACTGAAATTTAAATGGTGCGCTTTCCATCAGTTAACAATTAGCACCATAAATTGCAGGCTAGGAAGAAATTGGTGGAAGTTCTCCAAGCTGCCCTGGACATTAGAAGGGCTTCAAGGGCCAGAGGAACTTCTAAGAAGGCAAAGGACATGATGGATGGCTTAATTGATGTTGAAGATGAAAATGGCAGGAAACTGGACGATGAGGAAATCATTGACACATTGATCATGTACCTCAACGCTGGTCATGAATCTTCTGGCCATATTACTATGTGGGCCACCATATTCCTGCAAGAAAATCGTGAATATTTTGAAAAAGCCAAAGTATGAAAAACATCTGAGAAATGTAAGGTATTTTCATTCCTTAATCGGTCTATAAACTACTAAATGAAAAACTATCTTGGCGATTGTTTTTTAGGCAGAACAGGAAGAAATCAGACGAAATATGCTACCCACACAGAAGGGATTAACACTCAAGGATGTCCGAAAAATGGAATATCTTTCAAAGGTTTGTCTAATATGAATTTTTCTGAAGGATTTATAGATTATGCTTTGAATCCTAACAAGAGATAATTTTTCACTACATGAAGATTATTGATGAGACATTGAGGATTGTGAACATCTCCTTTGTGTCTTTCCGGCAAGCAACAACGAACGTTTACATAAATGGTAAAATTTGCTTGGATTTTCTGTTCTGTTAGTTTTTTCTGAAGTTGAATATGTGATTCTCATAATGTAAATTTACTTTTTATCTTATAGGATACTTAATTCCAAAAGGTTGGAAAGTTCAAACTTGGTATCGGAATGTCCACATGGATCCTGAAGTTTATCCTGATCCAAAGAGTTTCAATCCATCTAGATGGGATGTCAGTAAAACCTTTCTACTCTGATATTTACTCGCTTATGTGATTGTATATGTGATTAAGGCTTTATTTGGGACAGCTTTCCTCTTGCTTTATAGAACAACTTTCTAGTACAAAATTTTCTTGAATTTAAAATTTTTGTACTAGAAAACTGTTTTAAAAAGCAGTATGAAAGCTGTCACAAACTAAGGCTTCGTTTGGGACAACTTTCTTACTACTTCATAAAACAACTTTTTAGTACAAAATTTTTAATTTTTATACTAAAAAGATGCTTTGAGAAGCACTAAGAAAGTTGTCTCAAACTGTGCCTAAGCCTTCGTTTGGGACAACTTTTTATTATTATTTTTTAGTCGCTTTCAAAAAGAATTTGTACTTGAAAATTGCTTTAAAAACAGTAAGAAAAATGTCTCAAACAAAACCTACAAAAATCACATTAGTAGAGCCTATGGAGAGTTATTTATTTCTATTTTTTTCTTGTCCAGGGTCTTGTACCAAGGGCAGGGACCTTTCTTCCCTTTGGTGCTGGTAGCAGGCTTTGTCCAGGAAATGACCTTGCCAGGATAGAGATCTCCGTTTTCCTTCATTATTTTCTTTTTTTTTTTTTTTTTTAAATGTTGTTGACCTCTGATTGTATATGTGATTAAGGCTTCGTTTGGAACGGCTTTTTTTTTTCGCTTTCTTGAACAACTTTAAAATTTTTGAACTAGAAAGCCATTTTAAAAAGCAGTGTGAAAGCTGTCCCAAACTAAGCCTTCGTTTGGGACAGTTTATTATTATTATTTTTTAGCCGCTTTCAAAAAGATTTGTACTTGAAATTTGCTTTAAAAAACAGTAAGAAAAATATCTCAAACGAAACCTACAAAAATCACATGAGTAGAGCCTATGGAGAGTTATTTATTTCTTTTTTTTTCTTGTCCAGGGTCTTGTTCCAAGGGCAGGGACCTTTCTTCCCTTCGGTGCTGGTAGCAGGCTTTGTCCAGGAAATGACCTTGCCAGGATAGAGATCTCCGTTTTCCTTCATTATTTTCTCTTGGGTTACAAGTAAGGCTTTCTCTAGGTTTCTAACTCATAAACCTTCCTATATACCTACTATGATACCATCATGCACGAGAAAAATTATTACATGAGGTGTTCGGGAAAAATTATTCTGTGCGGAGTCCAGACCCCAATGAAAATGCGTCACGTCTGGTATCGAGCTTAGTACCGAGCAGTACCGCGGCTCGGTACCGCTTGGTACCTAAGCGTAAACCGAACGGTTCTCCCATCCGGTCCGCACGGAATAATCTCTCGGTGTTTGGACACGTCCGGAGGCCAATTTGGACGTACAACCTCACTCAATACATAGTGCATTGGATGACGTGGTGCATCCGAATTAGTCTCCGGATGCGTTTGGATACCACACAGAATAAGCTCTCCATACATGATGCCTAAACATACTAAATTTTTTAATTTTTGCAAGCAGACTTGAACGTGCGAACCCAGAGTGTCCAGTGAGATACTTGCCTCACCCAAGGCCCACGGATAACTGTCTGGCAAGGATCACCAAGCTATTAACAACCTCATCGTAAGCCAAAGCATGTATGTAAGAATATTTCAAAGTATTAAAGAATAAAAATCATTACTTATTCTATATGAGTTTCCTTTACAAGTTTTTAAGTTTATTTGAATTGAAAGAAAGATCTTTCATTCCTCATTCACCAACTTTTGGTATAGAGAAAAAGGTTATTAAATTTATTTTAATCAATTAAAATTTATATTGTACTTAAAGTATAAGAAACGTATTTGAGGGCCATGCTGAACAAAATGGCGAAAAAAATGGCGTTTGTGAACAGAGTGCAAGCGTCGCACTATTCACCTGGCGTAAAATGCAGTTGAATTTGGCGTTCGGTTGGAGCTCGCTTTGACTACAGACAATCGTTTTGAGTTCGGTTGGTGATGGCCTTAGCTCGGGTTTGCCTTATCCCTACACGACAGGGTCGGGCTAACTCTAAAAATGTGTAATTTGGTTGTTTATCGATTGTGAAGGTTGTAAGTAAGCGAGCTTGAAGAAAAACTCGATACTCGTTTATATAAGACTTGTTTATATTTGTTTGCTTGAATAATTGAATAAATTTGAATAAAATGGGAGAAGCTCGTCATATAAATGAATAAGCTTTAACATTAACTTGCTTTTTGATTTATGTTCATGAACAATTTGAATATATAAATTTAAATTTTGTTTTATTAATATTTAAATTTCATAAAGCAATTTGAAGAATGATATATAATGAATGCTTTAAATTTTTGTGATTATATTTTTTTTTTTTTCAAAAATGATGAACTATAATTCATAACTTTGAAATATATATATAAACTTGGAATCAAAAGCTAAACATTCAATAAACTTTCAGATTGGCGTACTATTAAACACTTATATATCTTATTAATATTAATGCATGATATGGCACAAAAAATCATCTGGTACGAATCTTGAGGCATACTCAAGTTAGAATCTAAACTCCAATTTCAACAAATGTATAGTTAAACTGAACGTCTCAAAGAGACGGAATCAATGACATCAAAATCGGTCTGATCCGAACACAAATGGAGTTTAGAAAAGTTGAAGCATATTTGAATGGTTCAAAGCATTATTTGGATAATAAAACGAAATCCAAATATGACATGATTATAGTGAAATCGAGCAGCTCGGTGAGAAGAATCCAACGAGCTCAAGATCGCTAAATTATGACATTGTTAAGGTATTTAAACAATTGAAAAGCTCTATATGATCGGGGAATCAATACGGGCAATTTGATGGAGCACTCCAAACATGCCTTGGTTTTTATCTATATTTACGGGGTGTATCACTCATGAAAATCTATAAATAAACCAACACTCTCTGCATGAGGGATACCTTTGGATGGAGAGTGGAGATTGGAGAAAACTCTGAGGTTTCAAGAGCTCCAGCACAATTGCTGGCGAGCCACCATCGACTATCGCCGAACCACCGTTTGGCCAACGATCACCGTCGGGCTTCCACCCGGCTGTCGATCACCGTCAGACTTATGCCCGATCGTCGTTAGACCACCGTCGGACTTCTACCCGGCTGATGTCCGCCGCCAAACTTCCATCCGACCATTGTCATACCACCGCATGGCCACCAACCAACGCCAGACTTCCACGCACGCAGACTTGAACGTGCGAATCCAGAGTGTCCAGTGAGATACTTGCCTCACCCAAGGCCAACGGATAACTGTCTGGCAAGGATCACCAAGCTATTAACAACCTCATCGTAAGCCAAAACATGTATGTAAGAATATTTCAAAATATTAAAGAATAAAAATCACCAATTATTCTATATGAGTTTCCTTTTACAAGTTTTTAAGTTTATTTGAATTGAAAGAAAGATCTTTCATTCCTCATTCACCAGCTTTTGGTATATATGGAAAAAGGTTATTAAATTTATTTTAAAACAATTGCAATGCATGAGTGATCAATTAAAATTTATATTGTACTTATCTTAAATTATGACAAACGTATTTGAGACTCATACTGAACAAAATGGGGTTTTAGAACAGAGCAATGTGCGTTGCACTGTTCACGTGACGTAAAATGTCATTGAATCTAGCATTCGGTTCGAGCTCGTTGGCACTGCAAACGATCGTTTGACGTTCGGTTGGAGATGACCTTAACTCGGGTTGGCCTTATCCCTACATGGGAGGTTCGGGCTAACTCTAAAAATGCGTAATTTGGTTGATTATCGATTGTGAAAGTTGTAAGTAAGTGCGCTTGAAGAAAAATTAAATACTCGTTCATATAAGACTTGTTTATATTTGTTTGGTTGAATAATTGAATAAATTTGAATAAAATGGGAGAAGCTCGTCATATAAATATGAATAAGGTTTAACATTAACTTGTTTTTTGATTTATGCTCATGAACAATTTGAATATATAAATTTAAATTTTATTTTATTAATATTTAAACTTCATAAAGCAATTTGAATAATATAAAATGAATGCTGCAATTTTTGTGATTAGGCATGATTAAAATTCAATTACAATTTGAACTCCATAAGAAAATTAATAAACAAATTTGAATAAGACTTCAAAGTTCTAAAATTGGCTTGAGTTTGATAAGCTATATATAAAAATTGTTGTGGGCATTATAGGAAATTGCTATAAAATTATTGTAGGAAAAATAAGTTTTTGAAAAGTTGTTGTGGGCATTATAATTTTTTTTTTCAATCTTTTAGAAAATAACTGATAACAATTTTCCTATAGATATCATATTTTAATGTATTTTGATTAGAAAAATTATTTCTCACCATAAAAATTTTTAAAAAGCACCGAAAAGGTTATCGCTAAACAAGAATATGGTTGTTGTCTTAAAAGTAAATATACGAGAAACTGACTCAAATGGGCTCTTAGGCTTCATTGGGGACAACTTTCTTACTGCTTTCTAAAGCATTTTTTTGTACTAAAAAAGTTGCTTCAAAAATCAGTAAGAAAGATTTCCCAAATGGACCCTTAATTAGTTTTACCGACACAACTCAATTAAAGAATCCTTATTAAAAATTATAGATTGTATCATATAAGACAATCTTATAGAGTTGGGGTGAATGAAGTTAACCTTGGTTAACAAAGCGCTTCATATCCCGTTGGGTGCTTCTCATGCTTCACAATTTAGGCTAAGTAATTAAGGAATATCATGACTTGTGTTATAGCTATAATAATATAATGAAGCAATCCTAATTAGTCTAATCACATTGTTAAGGGGTATGTGCCACATCTTTATCAATATTATAGTCTTAAATATAATTATATGAACATATTTAATATAACAAAAGTTACTTGACATAAATTTGTCATCTTAAGCAAATTGGGAAAGATGAGTGGTTGCTCTATAGTGAAGCATTCAATTATTGCTCAAGTTTTTGGGGTTTTCTTTTACTTCTTTTTCTTTGGCTATGCTAGCAATAGGAATTGAGTACAAAAATTTTTTTTTTTTTTCTTTTGAGTTTAAAATGACAATGTAAGGTTCTCTATGGTTATGCTAATCATAGGAGATATAAGTTGTTTATGATCAAAGGCTTTAGTAGGGAAATAGAAATATTGAAGAAGAGCTTACAGAATCATCTTTTGACCAACAAAGACCATTAGTAACTTTGCCTTGACATGCTTGTTGAGTTGAGTGACAAGGAATTCTAATATAAATTATATTAAAAATTATCAAATTTATCTTAAAATTATTATAATACATTTTTTTATATACCACATTAATCACAAAATAAATTTAATTTATATTAGAATATTCTAATATTTTTTTTTCTAATTATGATGATATATATATGAATGAGCTATCATGATATAAGAGGTGACTGATTTTTGAAGATTGCAACTAAGTTAAATGTCAAATATGGATGATTGAATCCAAAATAAAGGATTTTTAATAATCAATCAATAAGGCTACACAAAGGATTGATTGTCATTTCAATTGAGATGATGTAATTTCTAAGAATTTTGATACTCATATCTTTAGTTAAGAACTTATAAAAACTCATGAGATTATATATATATATAATTAAGCTAATACATGCATTAAAACCTTGATATCTAGAAGGAATGATTTAATTAGGTAAAATATTGATGCGGGCTCTTGCATGTTGCCCTGATGATTCATAATAGTTCGCCAGATCGTAGAGAGCTATCATATCTATCTTAGATTTTCTCATAATTTTGACAAGAAATTAAAGGGACTCAAATTTTGATATTCATAGAAGTAAGAGTGATTTGTAAGTTTATTTTGAGCTCAAAGAGCTAGTACAAACATCATAGTTCTGTGTGTGTAATCTGTAAGTATAATATTTTTTTTAAAGAAATTATAGCTAAATAAACTTGTGGTAACTTTTTTAAAAAATAAAGCATGAAAAGTTACTTTTATTTGAAAATTTTGACTTTGACTTCTTTCGAGACAACTTTCTTATTGTTTCTTAAAACATCATTCTAGCTAGTACAAAAATTATAATTGTTTTATTAAAAAGCCGCTTTAAATAACAGTAAGAAAACTGTCACAAATAAAATCTTAATATGCCTCACAAAAAGCATAATTAGATAAATATTACTTTTTTAATATTAATGCATATTAAAAAACTTTAAAAAATAATTTCTTTACCCTTCCCCTAATGCTGCTGATGTCTCCCTCTATCATTGTTAGTCACGTTTTTTAATCTCCTACTGTCCTCCACGTATATCTCATACCTCACACGGGGCACCTCCACCGCGAGCCACCTTCTCCAAACACTCCACGCGTCTCATAACGCCCTCCCCCCGCTCTCCTATATAAGTTCAGCCAAACGAAATACAAAAAATCGCTAAACATATCGAAAAGAGAAAAGATGCAGGTCGCAAAGGAGAAGATGAAGGACATGACTAGCAAAGCAAAGGAGAAAATGGAGGTGCAGAAAGTCAAAGCAGAAGAGAAAGCAGAAAAGAAAGCGGCGGGGACACGCGAGGAGAAAGAGATCGCTCACGAGTTCTCGAAAGCGCGTCAGGCCGAGGCCAAGATGGAATACCATCTCGAAAGAGCAGAGCACCGCGCCGAGACACTCACGCACCGTGCCGC